CTTTTTTTTTGTTAAAGATCCTCTGATCTATTTACTTCTCGATGTATCTTAAGGTCTTTTGCAAAACGGCGTATTTAGTTGTTGTTACACCGATAGTCACAAGACAAGATGAATCCACATTTATAATATCAGTTCTAATTGCTAACTTTCAAGATTGAATGATAATATCAGTTATTAAAACTTTTAAGACTTCAGTAGTCAAGTGGATCGTGTATTTTTTATACTACCTTGCAATTACAGATTTCAAGACAATTGCCCTGAGGCAGCGGCGTCTGCAAACGAGTTTGGAGACGTGGCACAGTGTGACAGTGACAGAGAGATTGAAGAATTCAACGAGAGACTGAAATCTTAAGCGACTGCCTGTCTGCTGTAGAGCAAAGCTGTGAAACCGAATCTGACATTACCAATCACAACACAATCACAAGTTGAGCACTTTCTGAAATACATTAAAACGACTGTCAACAATATTATATATATAGGGTAAGGCGACAAGTCTTTCTCATGTGTAAGTTTATTTTCTGTGAACCGTGAAACTCGAAAATTATCGTGTTTCGTGATTTGCGTTTTTTTCATTGCCGTGAACTGTGCGCGTGACCCCCCCCTTACGGCCCCTCTGCTATGGTGAAATTGATGCAGAGTGAACTTTGTTTTATTGGCTATTATTTTTATGAAATCAACTGTGTTGAGCTTCTATTCAATGGACATGATAGGTTCTCTGTTGGCAATTTGTCAATTTAAAAGGTAATTTGTTTGCAAATATAGTTGGAAACAGAGTACATGTCAGTGGGTTTGGTTATAGCAGTTTTTAATCCATTACCTCTGACTTATTTACAAGGTAAGTCAAACAGGGCATGTTTTCAAAAAATGTTCAATGTTTATAAAATGTAATACATCTGAAGCATTTAACCTACTGGGGTGTCTGCTCCTTGAAACAGGGTTATTCAACAGTAAATATCAGAGGATAAAAACAATAATGAACATGGTGTCTGCTATTAAAGGGTGGTTTCAGTGTTCTCAAGAAACACTAGCAGCCACTAGCATTTACAATGGCTAGTCATTTCTAAGAGGACTGGCTAGAGTCAAAGAACAAAACAGTTAAATATCGGTTTTGATCAGAAATAAAATAAAACTTTCCCTTTTATTTTGTATACCCCCCACAGGATCCATTCAACCCAGAAAGAATACAACAATCAATTGGAAAATAGATGCTTGTTGATGTCGATGCTTGTTTTCCCTCATTACTGTAAATGTTAAATTGTTTTGTAAGGCTGGCTGAAGAAAAAAAATATGGAGAACACTACACTTTATACAAATTGAACAGGAACTAATAATTAGCCAAATCTTACAAAATCTAACTCTTATGTTGGTAACAGGGTTTCAGAATTTTATATTTGAATGCATATGATGGTGTATGTTATGAAATGTACACTTGCCATGCACAGTCTGTGTTTTCTGTTTACATCTGCATGACTAAACTGTGTAAACATGTCATTTAGCAAAATATTGCACTGGGTGTAAACTACAATCTGCATGGAAAATAATGACAAACTTGTCACTGCTCTGCCACAGATTTGAGTTGGACCAATGTAAATTTGCTTTGCAAATGTAAACAGACAGCTTTACAAAGCAGGATGTTCACAACAAAGACGTATCACTAATGGCATGACCGTATGCTTCTCCTTCTGTTCACCACAATTCACATTTTAGCATTCATTCTCTGTTTCTTTTTTTCCCCTTGAACACAGTGCTTTCACAGGTTAAGACTGTATGACACAGGAATTATACATACATACTAGTTATACATTATTTTAACTATTTTGCTACAGTGTGTGACAATCAAGGCTGTGCTCTAAGAAAAATTGAAGGGACCCCAGTGCTCTGAAACTGTGAAATCCAGGGTACCCAGCATATGCTTTCTATGAAAAAACTAAGATTCCTGAGTCGCCCAAGAGCAAAAGTAAGGCACCATGGCCCACCGGGCGCTGTTAGACCACAGCCCTGAACAATGTAAGCAAAATTTCCTCCAAATATAAGTTAACAGTAAAGTAAGACAACCATACACTGTGTATCAATTTCAGTCAAGTCAGAGTCAGTCCAAAATTTCTGCCTTGGTTTTTTTCTTTCATGGTACACATCATTCACTCTTAATTCTATCTTTAATGTTTGTCACATTAAAACACATGCCACAAAGCATTTTGGGGAACTAATTTGAAAGAAATGAATCATTCTGTCAATGAATTTGTTGTTGAACCAAACAATATGGTTTTTCTGATGATAATTCATCAGTCACTTAACAAAAGATAACATCAAGTGAAAATGAATTATTTTTCATACATTTTTTTTACACTAACATGGCAGAAATTGTTTAAATTCAAATAAAAAAAAAATAGCATGCTTGGGTAGAGAGACTTGGCTAGGTGCTTCCAAAAAAACATTTAGGCCAAAACTGCAATCTACATGTAGGCACGTTCTACCAGAAGCCCTTTAATCGTTTAGAATTGCAGCATCTCTTTGTGGTAAATGATTAATAAGGACATTGAGCAATAACTCCACAGCAAATTAATAAGCATGTTTTCAGGAAGAACAGAAACTATTTAAAAGCTTATGATTCCACTGCACAATGCTGAATGGTATCAGAATCTTATGATGTGACGCGAAATAATTCTTTTAGTCAGTTTATAAAGGTCAGAAAAAAGTAAGCATGATTTAGGCCAATTAAACCAAAAACTTCTTTCACCATGACCTTCCTTTGTGTGGTTAGTGATGACATTATCAACATTTTTCTTCACATTAACATGAGAATGATGAGCTTTGTGACATCTTTTTTGAGAAATATTACAAAATTATAGGAGAAAAACATCAGAATTGGATCAGACAAAAAATGTTCCAACAACTATGTGACCAGAATTTCTACTAAAATGCAAATCTAGAGGAAGGAATTAAGTTGTGGGGAATTTCTTTATCAACAACATCTCATTGAATAATTCACTGCAAAGGATGATCATCGATCTTTTCCATATATGGAAAAAATTTAAAAGGAACTCTTCAATGTTCAAATCACAAGTCTTTCTAAATCAATTAAGCTGGTTCCAAGTTCAATGAGGACAAAGATTAGGTTAAGCCTGATTTTTTTTAACAAAACAAACTGCTGAAGTATTTACAATCAAAGCTTAAGTAAACTGATAAGAAATTTCAAGTTTAATACAAATGAATCAAATGAGACAGTGTTTAAGGTTTGCAATTGCTATATGGTTTTAAACATAGTGTTTACAGAGCCAAGCAATTGCCCTAGTACAAATTTCAATTGCCCCTCAGCCACTTGTTATGAATATTTCCAAACATTTATAAACAAGATGCCAGTGGAAAGAAACGGTGTGGGATATCTGCTACCAAGCTGATAAAACAGTTGGTCGGATATCCAAGTTTGAAAACAATACAGTTTAATCTTTAGTAAAGCCAGTCCGCTTGATATCAAACCCACAAGCCACAAAAAAAACAGATGGCAACAAAAAAATTAACACACATGTCATCCATATCATCTGTTTTCCAAACACAATCAATTCCACTGGCTGAAAACACTCTAAAAATGTAAAATAAAGCTATTCCCTAAATATAGAAGTCCATCAAAGCATAATAATCCACTAATTATCTATCCTTTAAAAAGATAGATACCTGAATACATTAATGTTATTAAGAATCTAAAACTAATAACTTCAGAAAACCACAAGTTTGGAACTTGTTCAAACATTTGACAAGGCAAATTTTCAATTGAAAATTGCAAATTATCCCACATATGAGGTACTTAATTTAGAACATCAACCAATTCTATTTTTCTCAACTCTGTCTATTCTGGGATTGCTGGAAAATTCTAAACACTAGTGACAATATCCAGATCCAACAAGAAGTAGATTAGACATTGCTTAGTTTCTCAAATGATAAATTAAATATAAGCAGAAGATTGATTCTGTGGCTTGATGAAAATGCACTGAGCCGGGTTGCAGGATATGCAGTTATATCTAGCAACTAAAACAGAACTGCACGAGGACAACAATCGCACTATGGAAAAATAAAATCAAAAGTAATCGTAGCATTTTGTTGTTTTGCACAAATAACGAAGTTTTGAATATCGGCATGTGATACAGTATAAGAATATCAGATTGAATTTTTCTTCTGACTGCATAAACGTCTTTATTCAATTTGCCATCGTGATATTAGAAAGTGAAAAAAAAGTGTAAATGTAAGATACTTTATAACCAGACTACAACACCATACTAGACCTGTAGGGCCGATACGCTCGTGTCACATAAAAAAACGATGCACGCAATCGTTTCTCTCAACCAGCGCTCAATTATTTCAAGCTAGATTAAATGTCATAAATACCGATGCACCAAATTTTACACTAGCAACTTACTGTAGCTTTGAAGGGAAGATGTGAATCCCTATTTGATACCTGAAGCTAAGCTCGAAGATTCTACACCTTCCAGGACAAGATGTCGACACGTACATAAGCCCACTCGAAATGTTGAAAGAACATTCCGAAACTCGAGAATTTAATTATCACTAACAGCCGTAGACAGAAAATAACACCGATCAACGGCTAAATAGAATAATCTGCTGTGTAAACATACATCTTTCGCTGTAGTTACGGAAGCATGAAATTGAATAGCAACAGAACAATAGCGGACTTCCTGAATAAACTGAGGTTTGCGGAGTACAGATGCCTCTTTTCCAATTACTGGTAGGTAAGCTCCGAAAAGATGGGTGCAATATCTAATCCGCCATACGGACAATTTTAGCCGTGATATAAATAATGACATCGTTTATAACGCGATTATACGTATACAGCATGTCCCGTGAGGTTAAATAGTTGCAAAATTCAATGAAGTACCTGTACGTCAAAAATTTTGTGTCGAACGGAACATATACAATAAACATATGCATACAAGCACACTTCCAAGATAACATGCCATTAAAACGTGAAACTGAACACTTTTCCTTACCATATTCCTCTAAGAACGAGAGCAATTCCAAACGGAATAACAAAATCATCGCTTGCGACCATCCAGCGACGCCTAAACACAACAATTCCCGGCATGTTTTGATGAAAAGAGGAAGCATCCACGTGAATGTTTCCGCTTTGAAGGGCTTCCCTACAAAAGTTTTTGACAAAGAACTTTCCTATGAATTAAACTGTACTTATCCCTTGGAACACTAGCGTAGGTTCTGTAAAAATCACAATAGAAGTGCTTTCTTTTGGGCGAGTCAAGCCATCAACAATTCTTTGAAGGAAGTCTCCTTAAATACGCACAGGGGACCATCAATTTTGTATTTGCATAAGTTTGCGCATGACTTAGAACTAATTCATGATCGCTGGCGCAAAATTTGAAAAACGGAATATGATTGGTTAATGATAATTTACGGTAAAATTCAAACTTGAGTTCTCGAGCGCATTTCATCGGGAATTGTTTTTACTATTTTTTCTTTGAAACAAAAAGGATTGACTATGTTAATGGCTTAAAGGTAGATTGAGGATTATAGTCATTTAAAGTAGTTACTTCATGAAGAAAATCTACTCTGAATTTCCTGTATGAAAGTGTGAACAACTCGGTGAAATTCATGATGGCGGTCCTCAATAACCCGACCAAAGAAATGGCACTGGGGTTTTCTTTACATAAACGAGCTCAAGAAGCGATAGGAAAGTTCCAACAAGAAATCGAGGATGACTTTAAGTATCTTAATGAGATTCTATCGGAAGCCAAGCAGCACTTTGGACGGTAAGATTTTCTCTCGAGTTTCACTTTTTTAAAATCACCAATTTTTAATTTGTGCATCTTTTGTTTATAACGTGCTTCTGTTCTGTGATCTTAGGCGAGACAGTTATATTCTTCTTCCAAAGACGCCATCAATGAAAAGAAAGCGACAGGAGAGTGATGAAGAACATAGTAGCGATGATGCTGCATCGAAAACGGCAAGAGAAACAAAAACCCATAAGACCCAAGGATACGCTTCGCCGCTGACGGTTATCAACGAAAACGAACTACCGGACTGTAATACAGTGAACGAGGAATGTTATCAAAAGGATACAAAAAGAACGACAAGAGCAACCAGGGCTAATTCACGAGCAACACAACAACAACCAAAGAGAGGATATGGAAAAAAGAATCTCCCAGATGTAGGAAGTGCCTCTAAAGAGAAAACTCCGGGTTTATCTTCCATGGACGAAAAGCCGAGACGAACCACAAGAAATTCTAAAAAGACGAATTCACAATTGACCAGAGTAACAGAAGAAAACTCGATCTGCTCATCATCAAGTAATGAAGTCAAAGACTTGCCTAGAGGAACCACTAGAGGTTCAAGACGGAAACAGCTGGTGGAAAATGCTGATGTGTCATCATCAGAAGAATTACCAGGGAAACCTGTAATAAAGAATTCTATGTCAAGTATAGATGTCAACCCAAAGGATTTTGAGGATCTTACACCCTTGGAAATTGTTCAACAAAAAACTTTATCACCTTTTAAGGAATCACAAGCAAGGCAAAGCACAGTAAATTCAGAAAAGAAAGATGAATGGACAGATAGTGCTGATACAGAGACTGTTCGTGTTCCAGAAACCCCACATTCCATTCCTATCAAAGCCAAGACACCAACTGCATCTCCCAAGATTTTCAAAACGTCCATCAATGTAGTCCTACAATCACCAGGATTAGGCACTCCAAATGGTGATGAGGTGATAATGTCATCAAGTCTCTGTCATGAGAAAAGTCCAAATTCTTGTGCCTCAAAAGAACTTGGGTCGCAGAAAGTTATATCGAAGGAAACTCAAGTTCCTGAAGAAGAACCTCTCAATAATAGTGACACACATGAACAATCACCCAGAAAGACACATGTTTCATGCCAAGAGTCTATTGAAACCTGTACTGCTGAAAATAAAGATGATGGGGAAACTGGAGTGAAAAATTTGTCTAATGATGAAAACCACCTTAAATCTGAGAATGCAAAAGTTGATTTATCTAAAGAAGTTGTCACAAAGGAAACTACAGAACCCAATAATGTGGAAAAAACTGTAGAGAGAAGTAGAGGAAGAAGCAGTGGATGGCGAAGAAAGAGCAAAAGATTAAGCAACTACAGATCTCCTTCAAGTAGACGACTATCTATCAAACAGAAAGTTACCAAATCAAAAGTACTTGGAAGGAAGAGTCTTGTCAAAAGTTCAGTGAAACTGAAGTTAACACACTCAAAGCTAATGCCAGAATTGAAGATACACAGTGCTGACAAGCAAACCAATGGTGAAAATCTAGAATCTAACCTGGAAGATGTCAAAGTGCGTCTGTTTAGCAGCTCTGAAGACAAGGCTGAAGGCCCAGTGCAAAAGATTGCAGAGAAACCCTTAGAGGATGAATTGGAGGAGGTTTTTCATGACTGCAGAGGATCTGAAAATGAAGACATTGGTAAGACAGATGATAAGAACTACACAGAAGCAATAAGGTTTGTACCTTTATAGACATTTTTCATGTTATGTTTATCAGTGAAATGATAAAATATTGACTACTTGGCTTACTACTAAGGGGTTTTTTTTTTTGTATTTTCTTGTACTAAGGGGTTTGTTATTATTATTATTATTATTATTATTATTATTATTATTATGGCTTTTATTATTTTGGAAAGTGCAACTGTATGGGTGAAAAACTGAGGACTACTTTTGTATCTCTGCTGTCATGAGATGTGCTTGTATGATTACATTGCTCCTAACAGTTGACCAATAACATGTTAAAGGTAACATTGGAAGCTCCATTGTCAAATTTTTGATTTGTGTATTTTTTTAATTTGCCACTTTTGCAGTGAACTTTCACCCATTGTGAAAAATGTCAATTCCTCTGCGATTGTTGTGCATGAAAGTGATGGAAGCAGTGGTGAGGAATTTGCACCCAACTCAAAGGAGATGTCAGAAGATCCAACAACACCCCCTCCACAAGAGCCTTTGAACCCTTCACATAAGGTAAATCTGCTCTATTAGAATATCAACAAAAATAAAATTCAACTTGAAAACTGTTGTTGATGGTGGGCTAAAATGCATTATGCTTGTTGAAACTCCAAGGTGTCCTTGTTGCTGAAAGGCAAAGTATTATACACTGTACAAATGACTCTACAGTGTGCATGCTGCAAAACACTAAGGCATTTGTCACATGTACAGTTGTACCTTAGGTTGCAAAGTTGCTTAATTACTTTAAAAAAATGCAACATTTTTTTTCTCATCAGGCTAAAGCAAATAATATAGCTGTTGTCCATTCATTTATCAGAAGAAACACGCCTAAGAAGGTTGACCCAGAGGTACATATCACATACATGTATTTTATCTACTCTTCACCTTCAGAGTCTCCAATGCAATAACCCACAAAGATGGTCTATAAGAAAATGTGAAACTTTATACTTTCCTAACCCCTTTGCACCCTAACATCAGTATCCGTATTCTCCATACTGTCCTCTATACATTTTCTAAGGTGCTGCCAAGGAGAACTTGTTAAACCAGGGCTCCTGCTCTCCTTGAAAGTCCTTGAATTTAATTTTTTGTTTTCAAGAACTTGAAAACCCTTGAATTTACACTCAGGTCCTTGAAAATTTCCGAAAAGTCCTTCAAAACAAGTGCAGATGAATCAAAGTCAGAGTTTTCTTTTGTTTTTGGTGTTGAAAGTGTAAGTTTTTAGCACAAATCACGAAACGAGTTTTCTTTTCAGATCCCATGTCTGATTATGATGTTTGACACATGGTTTTTATATATTTTGTACCTGATTGGTGCATTTGAAAATAACCTTGGTTACCAAGCACGTGATCACTCTGATGTGTATGCTTGAAGCCGCGCTTGCTGGACTATTATCCATTTTACAATAAAGTGCAATGTTTTTTTATTGCTATTAGCTCATATTTATGCCTCTTCTCCCTTATAAATTATATGAACAACCCAGATATGCTGCCTTGCCTGAGCTATGTTTACTGGGAAAAATTATAACCAATCAACAATTGGAGTAAATGGCTATGGGCAAAATCCCATGGCCGCATTTATTTAAAATTACTGTTCAATCAAATCCTTGATACAAAGTTTGGCCCAGTAAAGGTGAGGGCTCTGAAAACGCCAAAAATACAATCTAATGATCTGAAAAAGGGGAGTGGCTGGGACAAGGGGAGGAGGAGGGATGAAAAACCACGTCTTTAACCACCATCAAGATGGAACGTAGTGACGCTCACATGGGAGCCTGTTCACTTGGCAAGCACAAGTATCCTAAAGGGTATTGGGTATAATCCAAATAAATGCCACCCCAAGTCCCAGGCCCCCCAAAGAAATAAAAAGTACACAATGGGGAGAAGTATAAAAATTCTATTTGCAAGCAAATATTTCCTTTAATGTAAAAGGCCCTTGAATTTGTGGGCCAAGATCCTTGAAAATGACATACAAAGTCCTAGAAAGTCCTTGAATTGGGTTCCTGAAAAAGTGGACGAACCCAGTTAAACAATCAAGAGCTTCTCTAGTCAGTGATAACTTTATTCTCATGACCTTAGTGTGTGATTCCAGGGTGATGCTGCAAGGAGAAATTAGATGCGGGTCACTCTTAAAGGGTTGCATAACTTACGGCTTACAAGTTGCAAATCCAGTGGAATTCAAAGTGTAGTGAACAGGGTGGTCCCTAGAGTGTTAAACAGATTATCTCATCAGGAGATCAGAAAATTCCCTGGCTGTTTCACAAATTTCCCTCCTTATTTTTCTCTGGGTGAATTATTTTTAATCAGGCATGAAGAATATCCACCTTTTACTTTACATGGTTCTCCAGCTACGTGTACATCTACTGCTATTCTCCCTGAAAACCCTATATGTAATTTTCGTCAGTTACAGTTCAGGCCAAAATTTATAGTTTCCTCAAACAGGTTGCTGACTAAGACTTGCAGATTTTGAATACGGCAGTGATTCGATTCAACACTCTCCTTCCAATTAGCGCCCATATCAAAGCTTTGTTTTGCACGTTCTGCGGTTTCTTAAAAAAAAAAAGATAAATAAGTGTCCTGTCCCTGATAAATACCGTCTTTTGAATAAGAGTCAACTTACATGTAAGCAAATAAGTGTCTGGGCGCCAAATCGAATCACTGTGGTAACTGAGAAGAAATTTTCTTGAGCCAGTGTTACTCAGTATTATTTTAACCGTAATGATCTAGTGGGTGACCATATGGCATATATTTTATGATTGCAGGAAAAGAAAAAACAACTACGCAATGCATTGAAAGAAAAAGAAGAAAAAGAAAAAGAAAGGCGAGAACAACTTGAGATTCAACGACAGAGAGGAATCGAGGAACGGAAGAGGTGAAAATTATGATATCAAGGCTAGAAATAGACTTAACCAGTTATTCCAGGAAATCAGATTTTCTTTATCAGCAAAATAACTTCTGTTGTACACTTAAGTACGTGTTGCAAAACACAAGTCACTCTTCAATCCGACATTTAAGAACAAACTGGATTTCAGTTTGTTCCCCTGAGTCATACAGTCACTTAGGTCTCACTTATTTTGCATACAGGGTTGTCACAAATGGAGTGAGAGTTTTTTAATGGTCTGTTTTTATGTGAATAAGTTAATTTGGTATTAGGGAGAGTGACGGAGGAATTTATGGTAGTAATAGTTTTTTAAAGCATTGCACATAGTTTTCATCTGCATGTTCACCTGAATGCGTTTCTAAGTTAGTGTTTCTTCACAAACCATAACGTACAGTGTAGCTACTGTGATATTTACCTTGTCCGTCCATTTTTTAATCGACAAAGTTGAAATGGTAAATTGGCCACCGTAATGATTACAAAAGCTGACGTTTCGAGCGTTAGCCCTTCGTCGGAGCGAATAGAGGAATTGTGGGTTGTGTGTGCTTTTAAAGGCAGAAAATGGAGCTACGTTATTGGTGGGTGCATGGCAACGAGAAAAACATGAATAAATTAGTGGAATGAAAAGCGTTCATTGATCCCTGTGGGATTTAGACTGCCGGTTTGAAAGATGAGCTTTTGTTCAAGATTTTTACGGCTTTCCGTGCCACCTAAGTGCAAGGAAAGACCGCAGATTGCCATATGTTGCTTAGAATGATTAGGTAAATTAAAATGTCTAGCGACTGGTTTCGATGTGTCCTTGTCATTCCTTTCCACGTCTCGAAGGTGTTCTCGGAATCGGTCACCTAGTCTTCTGCCTGTTTCGCCGATGTATATCTTTTTGCAATAAGTGCAAGTTATGCAATAGATTACATTAGCGGAGGTGCACGTGAAGTGATCGGTGATCTTAATNGAACACCTTCGAGACGTGGAAAGGAATGACAAGGACACATCGAAACCAGTCGCTAGACATTTTAATTTACCCAATCATTCTAAGCAACATATGGCAATCTGCGGTCTTTCCTTGCACTTAGGTGGCACGGAAAGCCGTAAAAATCTTGAACAAAAGCTCATCTTTCAAACCGGCAGTCTAAATCCCACAGGGATCAATGAACGCTTTTCATTCCACTAATTTATTCATGTTTTTCTCGTTGCCATGCACCCACCAATAACGTAGCTCCATTTTCTGCCTTTAAAAGCACACACAACCCACAATTCCTCTATTCGCTCCGACGAAGGGCTAACGCTCGAAACGTCAGCTTTTGTAATCATTACGGTGGCCAATTTACCATTTCAACTTTGTTGATATATCCAAATTATTTCGTTACTCCCACCGACGCAGCCCCAAACAGTTTCTTTCGAAACTATCAGCCTTTATTCATTTTTTTTATCGTTTTAGGAAAAGAGAAGAAAGAGCCAAAAAAGCCGCGGAACAGCGAGTGGCGAAACTTCACGCGTTGGAAGAGAAAAAGCGTCAAGCTCAAGGTCAACGGCAGATCCTGATGGAAAAAGCCAAGAAACTCAAGGAAAAGGAGGAGGAGGACAAGAAAAAACAGCGAATACAGAAAAGAGCCGAGATAGAGGAAAGAAAAAAACAAGAAGAGGCTGTTAGACAGCAGAAAATAAAGGAACAGGAAGAGGATGAAAAACGACAGCGTGAGATGCTTCAGAAAAAACAAGAATTTGAAGAACAGGAGAGGCAACGAAGGATCGTTGAAGCCAAACGTCATCAAGAACATAGGGAAAAGGAGCTGGAGAGAGAGCGAGAGTCAGAGAAACAAAAGAAGCTTAAGGCTATTGAAGAGAAAGAGAAACGGCTTCGCGAAAAAGAAGAAAAAGAAAGAAAGGCACGAGAGGAAAAGCTGAGGATTGAACGCGAGAAAAAGGCACAAGAAGATAAAGAGAGGGAGGAAACGGAGAGAGCGAGAATTGCACAACTTATCCGCGAGAAGGAAGAACACGCGCGACGAGAGAGAGAACAGCGCGCCAAGGAAGAGAAAGAGCGCCAGGAGAAAGAGAAGAAGTTGAAAGAAGAACGAGAAGCAGCCTTACGCGAGAAGAAACGCCAGGAACAGATGGAAAGAGAAAGAGTGCGTGTTCTCGAGGAACGTAAACTCGCCGAAGAAAATAAAAAATTGAATTCCAGCACGACCTGCAACTCCTACGTGATGACCCCGCCTCAAGTTAAGGCGCGAAAACCGGCTTCATCGGAGAATTACGACATTGCTGATCTACAGAGTGATGAGTCAACCGACGATGAAGACAATCCGAGGAAGAGGATACCGTCGTGGGCGCGGCCAGCCGCACTGAAAGCCGCCATTTTTCACCAGGAGTATTCTAACATAGATGTAAACAGTATCTTCGACGATGTTCCGAAGCCGAATTTAGAAGATATTTTTAAGCATGCCACAAAGAAGAAACGGTTCAATCAACGTACAAGTTCGGCAATGTGGGACTCGCCCCCGCTGAGACAAGCCAAGAAAGGTACATATGTTTAGAAATGAGAAAGGAGATACCTGTACAATGGACCATTTGACTTTTTTTTTTCGAGGCATTGTGTTCGTTTTAGTTTAACCTTTGAAGTGTATTCTACTATCACAACTGAGATAACAGCTTACGAGTACTAGTGATACATGTATATTTTTAGCAGTCACAGCTCGTAGATCTCACTCGATTTTTGCAGAATGTTTTTAATGCTCTCATTTTCAGCCTAAAGGTGTCAATACGTACATATGGTATTCAGTAGTTTTGCGTAGATTCGGATGTACATTTACACGCCAAATGGGGTACCCACTGTATGCTACATTTCCGGATCGTATTCGTTCCAAGTTTAATTCATGCAAAGTCTTTTCGAAAAGTTTTAGTAATAGGTGGAAGAGAATAAGTGTAATTTTAGTTTGAAAAAGTGGATTAAACCTGTCTTAAAATAGAGGGGCGTCGAAATTTTTTAATCATCCACGCTTACAGCGTAATCCTCTCCCTTGCCAATCTCTAAGTTCAAAATCTGGCAGTTATTGAATAGCTAGTGAGACGCATTAAGGAAACTTGTTTAAGAAAACTTGCAAGAGTAAGCGCGGACTAAGGATTTCGCGTTCATCGTTTATCCCGTGTGATCAAGCAGTAAGCAGGTGAAAGCAAAGGCTGACCTCTCTGACGTTCAGAAGAGGTCTAAGAACCTTGACCAATTTAAATTGGATGGATTATCTAGGAATTACCGTTGTAGATTAGAAAATAACGACTGAGGGGCAATAATTTGTTTTCAGGATGTGATTTTGAAACGATTTAGGCTTACTGTTGTATATAGCTGTTTTTTACTGATCCACGTTTCGCATGTGACACATTTCATATTCGAATAAAATCAGTTGTACCGGACTTAGCGGAGATTTTATTGATCTCATTGTAAGTCACACACAAGTGTATGCAGATCACTACACTTACGCAATAAAGGACTTGAAATGTGCTGACTTCTGAAATAACTCTTATTTGTTTTATCGCCTTTGTCGCTCCAGGAGTTATCTGTAGTCTAATGGTTTACCAGACCCACGGTAGAGTGACATCTAAGAAATTTGAGATAAACGCGTATTGAGTCGAGGAAAAATCTTTTCAAGACTCGAACAATCATTATACCACCTTTGTGAAGGCTTAATGCACGAAAGAGAAGTGACTTTTTTTCTGGTTCTCAAGAAAATATCTGGGGCGTGGACACTAGTAGCCAATTCCAGATACCAGTGGCTGATTTTTGATTTTTGACACAAATGGCCGATTTGGGATTTTGGACGCAAGTGGCCGATTTGGGATTTTGGACACCAGTGGTCGATTTGAGATTTTGGGCGCTAGTGGCCGGTTTTTCGATTTCGGACAGTGGGGGCCAATTTCCGGTTTGGACGCTAACTGTCCATTTTTGACACTAGTGGCCGATTTCTGATTTTGAATACTATAGCCGATTTCCGATTTTGGACATATTGGGGCATTGGGCCTGAGAATAATCTACTTGCTGACTTGAGCACGAAAGAAAAGGATGATTAGCACCAAAATTAAGATAGAGAAATCTAAGCTCCATCTTCAGTAAAATTGTGTCTGCCTGAGCATACCATAAGATCTGAAAAAGAGCACAGAGCTAAAAAGTGTATTCATATTTAATTACAATTCAAAATTTACCACTTTACTCTACGAAAGGCCAAAGGGTGAATTGTGCATTACAATGCAAACACGCATAACGCCTAGGTAGTTTCCTTTCCCTCTTATCATTTTTATTCTTTCTTTGCATTCGCACGATTACTCACCCTGCGTGCTACTAGACTACATTTCGGCCAATACATCACTGATTCCTAGATGAGATTTTAAGGTCCTAATTTATAACTTTGAGTTACAGACCCGGTTTCATTTTCGATCCGATACACACTGCAAGCCACAATCTATACCTTGATGCAATATTAAGACAGTTATGCGAGAACTGAATAATGCCAGTGAAATAAACTAATCATGGATGCTTTTCATAGAGGACGATATGTCATGGATTAAACCGACCTACTTCCTCAGAAAGAAAGCGGCATCTCTATGGTGGTCAAGGACAGAAATTCTCTTGAACACTTGCAGATGTGACAGGTGTATGGCTCCTATGTTTAAAAGGCTTAGAGAAGAGTTCATTTGGTTTTTACACAGGGTAAACTAAATGGCTTCGCTCAAACCAAGCGATAACGCTGGAGAAACCAGCTTTGGATACTCGTTACGCTGGCCAGTTTACATTATCAACCAATTTAGCTTCATTTGATTAAGTCAAATTTATAAAGGTAATTGAACTGAGTGGGGTGCAATTTGGGCTGAAATCATACGCATGATTTCAAAATCACAAGTATGATTTCAGACCAAAATTGCACGACACGAAGTTCAATTACCACTTAATTACATCCATTTTGAAATCGCCCAAATACAGGACTTGGTCAATTCAAATATTTTATTGATGCAGTGCTGAGCCGGTTTTAAAAATAAAAAGAGGAACCGGAGACGCTTTTGCATCTTATTTTGTATGCAAAATAGAATGACTGACGTCATGTGTCAAAAACTAAGTCAAGCGTAAAATGATGCGATTTAGAGCAAAAAATGGTGCGATTTGTGAATAAATCCCACCAATTAGAGCCAATCAGATTACAGGAACCACCAGGGATTTAAAAATGGATGTAATAAATGTGAGATAATTGGACAAGGGCTAACATTCGTTTGCGACCATAACGTAAACTGATTTCAGCCTCTTTTTAACTGTCAGAATGTTTCTCTGCAATTCTTCGCTTGAGTACACCACTGGTATCTTACTACAAAAGACTGCCAGCTTTCTCATAACTCTTTCCAAGCAGGTCATGTTGTGACCTGTTGGTTCCAGGTAATTTGGACTTTTAAATAATTGAGGAAAAACCCCCTCACATACCATATGTAAGTCCTGGATACCTAAAAGCGATTTACAAGTGCCTTTGGTCTTATCGCAAGTTGACCAGCAAAAGTCAAATCGACCCACAAAACAGTCCCAGTCAGAAACGCACTTTTTCTGTTCCAAAAGAGTTNGGATCGTATTCGTTCCAAGTTTAATTCATGCAAAGTCTTTTCGAAAAGTTTTAGTAATAGGTGGAAGAGAATAAGTGTAATTTTAGTTTGAAAAAGTGGATTAAACCTGTCTTAAAATAGAGGGGCGTCGAAATTTTTTAATCATCCACGCTTACAGCGTAATCCTCTCCCTTGCCAATCTCTAAGTTCAAAATCTGGCAGTTATTGAGTAGCTAGTGAGACGCATTAAGGAAACTTGTTTAAGAAAACTTGCAAGAGTAAGCGCGGACTAAGGATTTCGCGTTCATCGTTTATCCCATGTGATCAAGCAGTAAGCAGGTGAAAGCAAAGGCTGACCTCTCTGACGTTCAGAAGAGGTCTAGGAACCTTGACCAATTTAAATTGGATGGATTATCTAGGAATTACCGTTGTAGATTAGAAAATAACGACTGAGGGGCAATAATTTGTTTTCAGGATGTGATTTTGAAACGATTTAGGCTTACTGTTGTATATAGCTGTTTTTTACTGATCCACGTTTCGCATGTGACACATTTCATATTCGAATAAAATCAGTTGTACCGGACTTAGCGGAGATTTTATTGATCTCATTGTAAGTCACACACAAGTGTATGCAGATCACTCCACTTACGCAATAAAGGACTGGAAATGTGCTGACTTCTGAAATAACTCTTATTTGTTTTATCGCCGTTGTCGCTCCAGGAGTTATCTGTAGTCTAATGGTTTACCAGACCCACGGTAGAGTGACATCTAAGAAATTTGAGATAAACGCGTATTGAGTCGAGGAAAAATCTTTTCAAGACTCGAACAATCATTATACCACCTTTGTGAAGGCTTAATGCGCGAAAGAGAAAAGTGACTTTTTTTCTGGTTCTCAAGAAAATATCTGGGGCGTGGACACTAGTAGCCAATTCCAGATACCAGTGGCTGATTTTTGATTTTTGACACAAATGGCCGATTTGGGATTTTGGACGCAAGTGGCCGATTTGGGATTTTGGACACCAGTGGTCGATTTGAGATTTTGGGCGCTAGTGGCCGGTTTTTCGATTTCGGACAGTGGGGGCCAATTTCCGGTTTGGACGCTAACTGTCCATTTTTGACACTAGTGGCCGATTTCTGATTTTGAATACTATAGCCGATTTCCGATTTTGGACATATTGGGGCATTGGGCCTGAGAATAATCTACTTGCTGACTTGAGCACGAAAGAAAAGGATGATTAGCACCAAAATTAAGATAGAGAAATCTAAGCTCCATCTTCAGTAAAATTGTGTCAGCCTGAGCATACCATAAGATCTGAAAAAGAGCACAGAGCTAAATAGTGTATTCATATTTAATTACAATTCAAAATTTACCACTTTACTCTACGAAAGGCCAAAGGGTGAATTGTGCATTACAATGCAAACACGCATAACGCCTAGGTAGTTTCCTTTCCCTCTTATCATTTTTATTCTTTCTTTGCATTCGCACGATTACTCACCCTGCGTGCTACTAGACTACATTTCGGCCAATACATCACTGATTCCTAGATGAGATTTTAAGGTCCTAATTTATAACTTTGAGTTACAGACCCGGTTTCATTTTCGATCCGATACACACTGCAAGCCACAATCTATACCTTGATGCAATATTAAGACAGTTATGCGAGAACTGAATAATGCCAGTGAAATAAACTAATCATGGATGCTTTTCATAGAGGACGATATGTCATGGATTAAACCGACCTACTTCCTCAGAAAGAAAGCGGCATCTCTATGGTGGTCAAGGACAGAAATTCTCTTGAACACTTGCAGATGTGACAGGTGTATGGCTCCTATGTTTAAAAGGCTTAGAGAAGAGTTCATTTGGTTTTTACACAGGGTAAACTAAATGGCTTCGCTCAAACCAAGCGATAACGCTGGAGAAACCAGCTTTGGATACTCGTTACGCTGGCCAGTTTACATTATCAACCAATTTAGCTTCATTTGATTAAGTCAAATTTATAAAGGTAATTGAACTGAGTGGGGTGCAATTTGGGCTGAAATCATACGCATGATTTCAAAATCACAAGTATGATTTCAGACCAAAATTGCACGACACGAAGTTCAATTACCACTTAATTACATCCATTTTGAAATCGCCCAAATACAGGACTTGGTCAATTCAAATATTTTATTGATGCAGTGCTGAGCCGGTTTTAAAAATAAAAAGAGGAACCGGAGACGCTTTTGCATCTTATTTTGTATGCAAAATAGAATGACTGACGTCATGTGTCAAAAACTAAGTCAAGCGTAAAATGATGCGATTTAGAGCAAAAAATGGTGCGATTTGTGAATAAATCCCACCAATTAGAGCCAATCAGATTACAGGAACCACCAGGGATTTAAAAATGGATGTAATAAATGTGAGATAATTGGACAAGGGCTAACATTCGTTGGCAACCATAACGTAAACTGATTTCAGCCTCTTTTTAACTGTCAGAATGTTTCTCTGCAATTCTTCGCTTGAGTACACCACTGGTATCTTACTACAAAAGACTGCCAGCTTTCTCATAACTCTTTCCAAGCAGGTCATGTTGTGACCTGTTGGTTCCAGGTAATTTGGACTTTTAAATAATTGAGGAAAAACCCCCTCACATACCATATGTAAGTCCTGGATACCTAAAAGCGATTTACAAGTGCCTTTGGTCTTATCGCAAGTTGACCAGCAAAAGTCAAATCGACCCACAAAACAGTCCCAGTCAGAAACGCACTTTTTCTGTTCCAAAAGAGTTCGCAGAAAAACGTGAGGATACATCAGATCAAGATCAAGAAGTTTCACTGTCGACGTAGTTGTGATTCCATAATTTCCCAGATGTACATCACAGAGCTGCGTCAAGCCATAACGAGAAGTAGATACATCTAAAGTTGCGTCCAACAGAGAGTAAGCGAAGTCAAATTTTTTGCGTATGCTGTTGATGTATACATGAAAAAACGCACTTATGATGGGGCACTTTGCAACAGTACTCGCATAACCAAAGTTGCCAGCCATTTTTAACAAAGAAGAGCCAACAAATTTCATAGCTCTACTGCTGAGATCATTGAACACTTTTTGCTTCGGTTCAAAGACATCAGGAAAGAGTGAGAGTTCCGTTAACTCCCAAGTGTCCCCAAACACGTCAGAAGCAACAAAAGACACTTCCTCCACAGCGTATAGTCCACCACAATACCCAAAGAAATCTACTGTGTGTTTACTCTCATTAAGGACCATCAACATCATGGGTTCTACAAGCTGCAGTAACGAGATGAATGTTCTACCCTCCGACGCTGAAATCGTCTTATCTCCGTCTCCGTCACCAAGTAACAGCAAACGAGATACGAGTTTGTTGCAATGAGAGCAGTCGCCAAACAATGCCTTCACTCTGGAGGAGACATCTTCTTGATATGATGATACAACTGAAATGTCTGCTATTATCTGACGCCTTTCAAACTCTTCAAACCAGCTCATGTTAATTTTGAAGATAACTTTCTCTCCTTGCCATTCTCCATTATAAATCTTCTTATCAGGCACCGTACTGAGGCAATTTCCAAGATGGAAAATGCTTTGTGAGCTACAGAGATCGGGGCATAATGGACCTGACACGTGACCTGCCTTATAAGCTGAGCACTGAAATAGTAACAAGGGTAAAATCACATGAACTGTGTCAGAATTTTCAAAAATGGGAAGAATAGGAATATATCGATTACTCAGTGGGTGAGCGCCTCATTCATGCACACTCCAAGACTAAGTTAAGAAGTTAACAATACATATTAACTTCAGAAATAATCAAAGAAACGGAATTTGAAGCCTTACCAGTTTATCAACGACAGAGGCCAAGTTACACTTGAAATGTTTGTGCAATAAGACTGAAAGAGTGTAGACGATAAGCGCTGTGGCAAAAAGGACTTTCTTGTCCCAAACAGCCATGATGATACCTTTGGAATCTATAATCTGAGCAGTACCTGAAAGTAGAGGTTGCGTGCGGGAGAATTTTTAATTAGTTGGTTTATTTTGCTATCAGTGATAAAAGTATAAGGTTCAACGTAGAAACTGTGGAACTTTTGCTAAGCTCAATTTAGCGTAACTGCGCCACTTGTTGCTATTCAGCCATTTATAGTTTCAAATGCCTTACAGAAATCTAAAAATATACCACAAGAAAAATCCCTATCATCAATTGCCCTTTCAATTCTATCAATGTCATTCAGTTAATACAAAGAAAACCGACTGCGTCATTTTTAAACCTAGACAGAAGAATCTCGGAATCGGTCACCTAGTTGTCTTCTTGTTTCACCAATATATATCTTTCCAAGCAGCATACGGCGGTCTGCGGCCTTTCCTTACATCTAAGCAGTTCGGAAATCGGCAAAACTTTAGAACAAACATTTATCTTTTAAATCAGCAACCAACGTTTGTCATGCAACTAATTTATTCTTGTTTTTTTCGTTACCATGTTCCCGCCAATAGCATGGCTCTATTTTCAGCATGTAAACAATACTTTTTTTTGAAACGTTTTTAAGTTTTTATGCCAAAAAAGTTAAAAGTCTGGCTAGACACTTTTTATGCCTTTATTCTGCCCTGAACTAAGTCTTTTTTGCTCTACAGAACCCCCGTCTGGCATTGCGTTACCTGAAACTGAAATTTGTCTCAGCCAAGTAAAATGAAGAATTATCTCATGCATATCATTGATAAGCAATTCACTTCGCCTTCTTGATGTAGCTCGCCATTTGCGCATCTGGCCTACTCGTTATTGTAGTAATTACTTGTGTAAACAGTATTCATTCTGGTGTTCCAAGCTCACTTTGTTCATTGCTCGTCGCAGTTTACGGAACTGTCTGGATCGCAAGTCAACTTACAACGGTCCAAATGCAATGTTACCTTGAGTCTTTCATTACGTAATAATAAGCGATATAAATATGGTTAAGGTACCTTTCGAGATATTTCTATCTTAATTTGGTCACCGTTCTCAATGATTTAGGCCTAAGTTGTTACACTCAAATATATTTCCCCCAATAACTATACATATATTTAAGAGATGATTGCCTATGGGCATCGTCGAGCTCGTGAATCAAGAGACCTTTAGCGTTCTTCCAAATTTTCTATACATAGAGTGATAAACGGGTTCATTTTCTTGTCTTGCATTATTTAGCCACATCATACGATCTTAACTATCGCCGTTGAAACAAAACCGGATTTTTCTCCTTTACAGGAATTGACGTTAAAAGACACCGCTCCCTTGCCATGTTGCATCCTTCTTAAATTGTGCTCCTAATTAGCTGCATGAGCCAATATCGTCAAAATCAGTAATCTCGAGAAAGAGGCGGGTTTGATCAGCAACTTGCCAAATGTTTTCTTAATAATCAGTAGTTGAATTTTGCACGACACTTGAAGTTTATTTAAAATTCGGACACTTATTCTGCAATTTTGTGCAAGAGAGGATAAATGTTTCATGTCTGCAATACTTTATGTTCATTGATTTATTCTCACATGATGAGGTTTACTCACTATGAGTAGCCACAAGACTGTGGGAATTATTTCTAGAAGTTCTGAAGCAGGTTTAACACACTTTGTTGTGGTTCATTCAAATGTTGAGTGATTTACCTTGGTCTGAAGGGAATAAGAGAAAATGTTTCTTTGTTGAAAGCTTTTTCTCGTAAATGCGCCAAATTTATGAAATTACAAAGTGTTACCTGTCTTTGACGTTGACAACCGAGTTTGCCAGAGAGTTCTTAAGTGATGACTGTAGGGCATAGAAACCCAAGCAGGAAACTTTCGCTTAACTATCAGTCAGTTCAATTTCGTTTTATCTGCTAATTCGAGAGTATTCTGTTCCCTCAAGGGCTCATCTTTAGTTCTCCTGATCCTTGAGGAGAGCCGATAATGCGACCGATGTTATGTATATCACTGGTGAAGCGTCAAATAAATGCAGAAATGTGAGTGACAGCCCTAGAAAAGACCGCTAGCTATGTTATTCCTTTAGTTGGGATACCCGCTCGTTGGTAGCAAGGTAAAGGTTATTATAGGACATTCTGCGTTTTGAAAGTTAGGGGGTTTTAGATAGAAATATCTGAGACCGACGCTCTCAATGACAAACGCGTAAATAATGTGCAAAATGATGAAGTGCCATTTTTTTCTAAACACTTTAGGTGGGATTTTATGTCACTAAAAATTCTGAAGCAGGTTTAACACACTTTGTTGTGGTTCATTCAAATGTTGAGTGATTTACCTTGGTCTGAAGGGAATAAGAGGAATGTTTCATTGTTGAAAGCTTTTCGCGTAAATCCACCAAATTTATGAAATTACTAACAAAGTGTTATCTCTCTTTGATGCTGACAACCGACTTTACCAGAGAGTTCTTAAGTGATGACTGTAATGCATAAAAAGCCAAGGAGCAAACTTTTCCGTGACTATTAGTCCTATGAATTTCGTTGTATCTGCTAATTCGAGAGTATTGTGTTCCCTCAAGGGCTCACCATTCTTTAGTTCTCCTCATCCTTAACGAGAACCGATAATGGGACGGATGTTTTGTATATCACTGGTAACCCCTCATATAAATGTAGAAAAACCCGCTAGCTATATAATTCATTCAGTTAAGATACTCACTTGTTGCTAGCAAGGTAAAGGTCATTTAGAGGACATTCTGGGTTTTTAAGGTGAGGTTTCTTAGATAAAAATATCTGAGACGGACGCTCTCAATGACAGATACGTAAATAATGTTCAAAACGATGAAGTGCCAGTTTATCTAGTATACACTTTGGGTGGGATTTCGTGTCACTGTATACTAAATATCCCTTGCGAAGCATTCAAACGGATGTTGATACCAAACAGTTTAGATCCCAGACAGTTCGTTAAACGATCAGAACATCAATTTGCCCTGAGTAAGATTTCAGGTTCTCCTCGAAACATTTTTGCTCGAAGCTTTGTTTAGTCGTGTGCTCTGGAATGTCCTTGAAAACTCCTGATCTATATTGTTCAATCAGTAAAATGGAGTCACTTGTTAAACCATGTTAATATGTTAATGATGAAATATCACAGAGGGCCTCAAAGGGGTTGACGGGTGCTAGCCGTAAGACTCGGTGAGGTTAATCAATAGCCGTAAAGCGCCCAAAAAAATTAGCCGTTAGTAATCTTTGACAAATTTTAACCGACAGTCGTAGAAAAAGTTCACCGAAAAAGAAATTTCTGGCGGCAACAATGACTCCATCGAGACCCTCTTAGCTGTTTTTTCACGAACCTTACCTAGCTTGTCCTTGCGGGGGCACATAACCAAGGAATAAATTATAATAATTTCAGCACAAAACGCTAGAAAAGACTACTAACAAAAACGTCAGTTCAGGTACGCACTTGTTGGGAGCAAGGTAAAAGTTATTTGAAACGGTCTCGATGACAAACACGTATATCAAACGTAAGAAATAAAAATCTCTATAGCTTAATAACGAGACAGTTTTATAAATAACAAAATGTTGAACGTTACACGTGGGCTAGTAAGCTTCGAGAAAATTAACCGTTGGTTAGACCGATTTAAATATAGGTGAGCTAACCCCGTTTTATGTCAGACATTTCAGAATGCTTTAATATCACACTGCCATCAAGCTTGCTTTCTAATGCAAACCATTAAGTGGACTCCCTCAAGGTTCGATTTGAGTCCCACTTTTGTTTATTCTATAAATAAATGACCTAGATCTTCTTTTCGCTAGATCTGCTTTTCGCTGATGACACCAGTATCTTTTATTCTCACTCAAACCCAAATTGCTTAGAATCCGTACTTAATGATGAACTCCAAAATTTTGATATTTGGCTAAAATGTAATAGGCTTTCAGCTACTACAAAGAAAACTAACTGCTTCATTTTTAAACCTGGACAGAAGAGATTCAACTCTCGCATTTCTCTCTCCTTTGGAGGTAAACCCCTACAATCTAATATAACAAAATTCCTTGGGTCTCTACTGACGATCATCTCAAATGGAAACATCATATCAGCTAAGCTACGTTTGTAAACAAATCACTAAATCAACAGTTATTATATTTAGTGATGACTTTAGTGCATAAAAAGCCAAGGAGCAAACTTTTCCGTGACTATTAGTCCTTTGAATTTCATTGTATCTGGTAATTCGAGAGTATTCTGTTCCCTCAAGGGCTCAGCATTCTTTAGTTCTCCTGATCCTTGACGAGAACCGATAATGGGACCGATCTTTTGTATATCACTGGTAACGCCTCAAATAAATGTAGAAAAACCCGCTAGCTATATTATTCATTTAGTTGAGATACTCACTTCTTGGTAGCAAGGTAAAGGTCACTTAGAGAACATTCTGGGTTTTTAAGGTGAGGTTTTTTAGATTAAAATATCTGAGACGGACGCTCTCAATGACAGACGTAAATAATGTGCAAAACGATGAAGTACCAGTTTATCTATACACTTTGGGTGGGATTTAGTGTCACTGTATACTAAATATCCCTTGCCAGGCATTCAAACGGATATTGATACCAAGCAGTTTAGATCCCAAACAGTTCAGTAAACAAGCAGAACATCAATTTGCCAGTAAGATTTCAGGTTCTCCTCAAAACACTTTTGCTCGAAGCGTTGTTTAGTCGCGTGATCTGGAAAAACTCCTGATCTATGTTTTTCGATCAGTAAAATGTAGTCACTTGTTAAACCATGATAATTTGTTGATGATGAAATATCACAGAGGGCCTAAAAAGGGTTGACGGTTAGCCGTAAAACTCGGTGAGGTTAATCGATAGCCGTAGAGCGCCCAAATAGATAGCCGTTAGTAAAACTTGACAAATTTTAACCGACAATCGTAGAAAAAGTTTACCGCAAAAGAAATTTCTGGCGGCAAGGATGGACTCCATCGAGACCCTCTTAGCCGCTGTTTTTTTACGATCCTTACCTACTTTGTCCTTGGGGAGGGGGGGGGCCATAACCAAAGAATAAATTATCATAATTTTAGCACAAAACGCCAGAAAAGACTGCTAATAAAAACGTCACTTGAGGT